CACCACGGTATGTTTTGTCATTATAGGATTTTATAAAGCATGTCCTTTGAAACAAATGGTGTCATGCTTACAACTGGGAACCATTTGAGAGGTATGTTGTGAAGTCATACTGTAGTGCTCAGCTAAAATTATTCTATAGATGACAGCAAGGGGAAGTAGCCACTATTCCTGTTATTCCCCATTGTACAGTCATACTGCAGCAATTATTTAAAATCTTTGATTATCCTCAGAGAGGCGATGCAATCATGGCTGAAAATCAATTTCAGGGACATCAGGAAAAATCAAAAAGCCTGCAGACTGCCAACAGGGCCAAGGGCTTGTGCGAGAGAAGAGAAGGGATTTTTTTCTCATCATCGTTTCGGTTTTCCCTTTGCTAAGGGTAATCAGCCAGCAACACCAGAGAGCTTGCTGTTAGTCGGAGCCAGATCCTGATCCTGTTCAGGGCTGCTAGTGATGTAGAGCCAGGTAGCATCCAATTAGTGCTTAGTGTAACTTAATGCAAAGTGCTGGCACTCAGCTCACCGAATCCAACTAGTTGTCATAGAATTTCCACGCTTCTGCTGTCAAATTCATGAACATTTGCTGATTTGCTTTGCCTTCTCAAGGCACCATGAAGTTAAAATGAGACATTTCCATCAATGCTGCGCCGTGTATGGCCATTTTCTGCTAAAACAGATTGGCCTGATTACTGATGAGACAGCAAGCACGTCAGCGACGGCTGCTTGATGCTTATTGACAACTGTGTTGCTTTAGAACCACATTTACTCCTTTTACATATAGAGCAATTTGTAATGGCACAGGTTCCAAAGCTCTGTAATTGATGTAAATCCAATGGAAAAAAAAAATCATCATTCATGATAAACCAAGAGCATGTACCATTTTTAGTAAACAAAGCTGGATGTAAAATTTCCACCCTTTCTTTATGTTCAATCAAGGCGTGCCTCTTCATATTCAATCAGTCTGGACTTGTCCAGATGCTGGACTTATCTCGCACAGCTGAGAGCAGATCAAGTCTGATAATTACATATTTAAAAGACACAGCATAAAAACGGCTACCTCTCACTATGCTGTGTTATTCAGAACAGACTGATCTGGTAGATAAGACGCTGAATAATATGCCAGAAAATCACAAATCACAAATATCTTATGTGTCCCCATTTCCTGCATTTTAGCCCCCTCCATCTTTACTTGCAACCTTTCTGCTTTCCTCTCCCTGAGTTTAGACAGCTGCGAGGAGCATCTCCACAGTCTGTGGTCTCTGGCAGAAGGCAGACAATTGAGTTTTGGAAGTGGCATGGAACGAGACAAAGGGAGCGTGAGGTGGCTTCCTCCCTCTGTCTTCCTCCCCGTCAGGGCTCCGTGGGCGGGTTGCCCACTCTTTCATAACAGCATTAGCAGAGACTACGCAGCAAAACAGTGGAAAATCCACTCCACCATGTTTCCTCATCAGTGGTGTCTTCTCTCTGACCTCCACCTCAGTTTCAGTGACTCACATGAATATGGAAGATGAATATGGGCCAACTTCTGAGGTTACGCCAAATTCAACAAGAGACAGGCTTGTCAACCATGAAATCGCCTTTACAGAGGGAGTATGGACAAATTTGGATTGGTTGAAGGCACTTTCATCCCTGGGAAATTTCCTGACCTTTATTTTATGTTCTAGGCCATAAAGATCAGGTAAAATGCTATCATAACAACCAGTATAAAGGAAAATGGTGGTCTATTATCCTCCATAATTCCTCTCCGGACATCTATCATCATTCACCTTCCATTCACGCTACCCAGCAGTCATCACAGGACACCCCCATACTTGTGCAGTGTGGAGCTTTCCTCTTTGCCCTTTCTTGGTAATACCTCCTGTGACATACTTGGCTCAGCACCCTTACACAAACACTAACACACACACACACAAACACACACTGGTGTTTGACCTCTGAGGTTCAGTGAGAGCATTAAATACCAATTAGGGTTGGGATGGGCTAAGCTGAGTCTGAGGTTGTAGCAGGGCCTTGAGGAGGCCTGTGGGAAGCAACTTATTGGTCCCTGGGCATAAGTGCGCGTGTGTGTATGTGTGTGTGGGTGTGTGTATGTGTGTGTGGGTGTGTGTGTGTCTGACTACTACCAGTGCTGAAGACCAGGTTTATACTGTGTGTGTGTGTGTGTGTGTGTGTGTGTTTGTGCAGAATAAGGACATCAATAGCATACTAGACAATCTCCCTATAGGCATACTTTCTGTACGCATGCACAAAAACCACATCTGGATATTTTATTTAATACAGCATTCAAGTTCCATCTTTTTCACCCCTCTGAGAAGCCTGGTTTTTGGCTCAACATATTTTCTGTTACATCATATCATATGATTGAGCAAGATTATTTCTGCTTGAAATGACACTCTCAAATAAGTATGGTTTAGATTGTTTAGACAATGTTTCTTAAAAAAAAATACGTTAATACCTATTCCGTAAGACTTCAGTATCTACACTGCTGAAATTGAAGAGGTACAATAAGATGTGTGATGCAGGCTATTTGTCTCAGTTTAATGTCCGAAATAAAACAGCAATACAGGAGAGAGAATATTAGCAAATGCTCTGAAGGCAACCCTTTGAGAAATATCCGTTCTCTGCAGTGAATCTTGAGACTGTGTGTGATGATCTGCTGTGGTTATCTGGCGGTTTCAGAGTCATGCCCTTTACTGTCCCTCTGTTATTTACCCACCAGACACGCACAGCTTGATAAATGTTTTGTCTGACCTTCTAAATTTGTTTTCCTTCCTCTTAACTGTGATTTTATTTCCCTTGGACAGGCCAGACTGTGTGTGTGTGTGTGTGTGTGTGTGTGTGTGTGTGTGTGTGTCTCTTTATGTGTGTGTATGTCTGTTAGCAAAGAAAAAACAAGGTCCACAACCAGAAAGATAAAATCTATCCTCTCCTTATTGCAAATTACTTCCATCAGCCCCTCATTTCAATGAACAAGCAAAGGAATTGAGAGAACTACTAATAGCAGCGACTCCAGCCACTGACCATCCATCTAGTGTGTGTCTCCTCCAGTCTGGAAAGGGTTAAAGTCGCCACAGGCCAGAGCAGAGTCAACATCGGCCACGGCTTGGCTGGCCTACCCTGCCAGATCAATATCTGCAAATAATAAATTAGCTCCCCAGAGGGGTCGCACTAAACCTTCAGCAGCACTGCCCTGGAAAAGTCCACAATTGGTGTGCGCGAGACTCAATAAGCCAGGTGAATGACTGTGCAGGGGCACATCTTTAGCACTCCATAATAGAAAATTAATGGTGCTCAAATCAGTGCTGAGGGCACCCTGAGGGTTACCTAATAGGCCTAGTTAGAACTGTCATCCCTCCCAGAGTCGCCTAAAATATCACATGCAAACACAGGGAGCCAAGGAGAGAAAGAGGAATGGGGGAGAGACGTATGTGTGCTTGCAAGTAAGCTGGATTACCACTTTTGGTATTGATAACTTTAGTGAGAATATTACATAAGTGATATTTTGGATTTGAAAACTAAGGTTGTCAGATCAAACTTAACTTATTTTAAATACTGTTTTTACTCCTGACTGAACTGAATGCATCACTTTCTCCTCATGCTGCGACTTTGTTGCCCTTTTTATTAGCTCACTAGCTTGTTTTAGGATTTAATTGTTTGCAACAGTTTTTTATGGCAGAAGGGCCTGACACTCCTCCTAATTACTATGTCAAGCCATATCTGAATATAATTTAACTCCTGTCAGTAAAAGACAAGACTCAGCCCACCACCAACTCATCTTTCAATAATTAACACAAAGACTAAATACTGTGAATCAACACTAAACCATTGCTGTATGTTTGAGATGCATTTTCCTGTTTGTTCTATTAGTATTTATACTATTAAGTATTTTACTGATCAGATACTAATTTTGATAAATATATTGTCTGATTTAACTTTAAGGAATAATTCACAGACCCATGCACACAAACATCCATCTTCACTATAGTGGCTGTAATGTAGTTTCCTATTCAGAATTCACTGTAGAAAATAATTTACTGATTTTCCTAACACCTAAACTGACCAGATTTGACTATGAACATTGTCATTTAAACTTTTTATCCTCAGTTTTAATGACAAGTTGTAGTTCATATGGGCTCAATCCTCTCAGATGGTTGCTCACATTATCAGGCAAAAAAAAAGAAGAAAAAAAAAAGAAATAGCAGACCAAAGCATTATTATAATTCTTCCTCAATCCAGAATATATTGGCCATATTATCAGGCTTAAAAACAAACCTTAAAGAAAACGTAAATAAAAGACTAAACAGAGCTAATTTTAGTAACAAGTCCACGTTTAAGTAGCTAAATAAAAGCTGAAAGAGTTGCGAAAAGTCATTTAAAGTTTGTGGAAGGAAAAAAAAGTAAATCTTGGAAATACTAAGTAGATGATCAAATACAATGCTGAAATATGCAACTTCATCATGCTGGCTGTGTTCAAGCATAAACTTGTCCAATCCACAGGGCTGTTTAAAAGCAGATCTATATGCCCAACAGGATGGTAATGAGCCTTAAAAGCACATCTGATCACTTATTCCAGCTGGTTTATTCCCCTTCTCCACAAACACAACTATTGGATTCAATAAACATACTTCATATTGATCCTGAGCCACCCGGCAGCACATGCAGCTCTCCTACCCGCTCTCAACAAGATTTATTACAACTTTGCATGCTGAGCAGAAACCAAGAGACACGCAAACACAAGCGTGTGCGCACACACATGCGAATAAATGCACCCCCACGTACACGGAAAAGGTGAAGTTTAAATACCCAGTGACTTCTTGTCAATGTTACGAGCACACACAAGTGCGCACAACCCTTCGATTTTCCCCCTGACCGTAATTTGCCTATGAAGTAATATCAGGGGGATTGGGATGTGTGGGGAGGGGTTTGCCTCCTCATCTCTCCTCCTATCCCCCGCAGGTCTGGACTTCGGCAAACTGTCTGCTGCGTTGACACTGAACTTACCCACATGCCGCCACACTGCCGTCCTCCAGCGCAAACAGAGTGTGTCGCTCTCCGCAGGCCACTTGAGATATTTTCAGAGACGATGGAAGATTCTGGAACAAACGCGGTGCCAGCTGGAAAAAAAAAAAATTAAGTTCCCAGTGAGGTGAAGAAACACACTGTATCTCTGAGTAGCTCTGTACTCTGTAGTTAAGTTGGTATACTCCATCAGCCTGGCTAACATCCCAAAGACAGGCACAGCTACAGTAGATCCTCTCAGAGTAGATGAAGACAGAACAACGTGAACAACAGAGGGAACAAGAAAGAAACAGCACACTCCTTTATGGCGCTGAGCTGTGTAGATCTGATGTTTTTAAGTCCCTGTGTGTATGTCTGTCTGTCTGTCTGTGTGTGTTCATGCCAGTGCCACAAAGAAAAAAATGAAACAGCCTATGAGAAGAAAAGAAAGCCTGGTTCCTCATCATGCGCTTGTTAGCTTGTCCAATCTATGGCAATCAGCACAGTCCCAGGGGTTGAAAGACACGAGATGCCGGGGAAAGGGAAGCCGAGGCTGAGGAAAAGATCAATACTGCACTGTGAAACAAGAAGTGTGGGCTATTTACTCTCCATTGATCTGATGATGCTGGAGAAACACCTCACTCGGCTATTAAATTGAGGGTATAAGTCTACTGTGGAGGGCTTTTTTTTCTTCCCCTCTCTTTTTCTTGCTCTCTTTCTTCACCCCAAGGTCAAGAAAAAGCTAAAAACATCCACAAACAAAAAAAAATGGATTGCTTGGGCCAGGGAAAGTAATTAATCTGCATTAAAATGCCAAGGGAACAGGCACTAACTACCCATCTTAAGTGAAGTTTTGCTCAGAGCGACAAGAGACCCATGGCAGCATAGGATGGACTACTAGAGGACACAGTGATAAATACAAATAGACTGCTAGCGGGGGGCCAGCAGAGTTTCACTAGAGCTACTTTAAGCTTAGCATTTCCACCTGCATGACACAGTAAAGGATAAGTAAACACAGAGCTGAAAGGTCACCATCAATGAACCACAGCACATTCATTCACATTCATTGGTATTTTGAGACACTGAGAGGACCATCACATCCTAACTATAATCTCAGTGAGGTAATGTACAGTGTGTAACTGTAAATGTCAACATTATACTTCATGTAATGCTAAAAAGCTATCAAAGGTGTGTGACAAGGCCTGTACTGTCAATGTGTTTCAAATACCTGTGACTTATTTATTTATTTAACAAATTTATTATAAATTCAATAATTAGACTGATACTTTGAAACTGAATTTTTGACTTTACTTCAGGTCAATCTGCTGCAAAAAGCAAGTGAACAAAAACATGACGATACAGCATGACATCACTGTAGTTGTATGCCCAGTTTGATCTAATATAGTAGCTCATCACAAAGTCAGTGCCAACAGGAATTCAGACTTCATGATGGTGTAATGAGGGCGTCACTGAAAGAAAAGATTGTGCATAGTGATTACAGTTATAAAGGATCAGCCGCAGACAGAATCATTCCTATACCAATGTTTAAAATAAATTCCTTAGAGTAATAAATTAGTCTGCTTACAGTGTTTATTTGGGGTCTTTCATACAAAAAAAAGTTTTTAAAGTTTAAAACTACAATAATTCCATTCTCTTCAAATTTTTACCACTTTACTCCCATGCTACAGTTCTTGCCTTGCACTAACCCTTATGCTTTTGGCTGGCTACCTGAGGCTGGTGCTGCCGTGCACACTGAAATCACAATGGGGGAAAAGAAAGTAATTTTCTCTCAGTGAAAAACGTAGTGTCCTCGAAGCTTATGACAAACTGCCAAAAACGAGCCGACGAGATGCAGCAGCAAAACTTGGTGCTCCTCAGGCAACCTTGTGCAGTTTGCTCATACAAAACAGTCACGACTGCGAGTGACGGAGATGGAAAACGAGTGTGCATGCGGAAAGCACCTGTGGTTAAAGCCACACTTGTGAAGTGGACTGATAATGCCCGGTCACGTAATGGCCCCGTAATGAAACAGCTGTGGGCTACTGCATTTTGAAACAGTCAATAAAATTCAGTAAATAACAAAGCTCTCCATTTCATTACTTTATATTCATGTAGTAAATAAACAAATGTAAATTAGACGGTAATCTGCATGAGGAAAAACTCGTATTATAATCATGTGCTTATAGTGATAAATTTGACCCAGACAGATGTGATCACTATGAGCTGTTTCCACTGACTTTGCCGAGAAAATTCTAGGTAATCTGGAATTCGTTGTGAAAGTTAAAATATCATCAAATGATGAGGTCATCAAATTATTTTTTATAGTGTGAAAGAGTGGTGACACTGTGATATATAAAGTACATGAAATACTGATCCATTTTCAGCGGATATTGGAGGTTAAAAAAATGGCCCTTACATGGCAGAAGATAAAAATAAAACCATAAAATTCATCTCTGGTTTCCTAACATGTGTCCAGTGGCAGAGCAACTAACATCAATATATTTTTCATGGTGTGAAACTCTTTCCCTCCATGTCTGTCTTTGCCTTTCTTCCACTCCTCAGAGGAGTAGCCTTATTGACTGTGTGGCTGTATTACAACAAGCAGTCTCTAATGACTCCCTGAAGACCTCTCTATCCCTACTGCCCGCCCTCCGTCTCTCTCTCTGTGTCTCTCCTTCTCTGCCTGCTCTTCAGGCTCCAGTTCAGCAGCTAATTAACCCTCTCTAATAGCGTAGATTACATTAGCTTTGAGCGGCTCGCACCCTCCACCGGACTCGCACTGCCACACAATGAACCCAGCCTTGCTTTACAAATCTCCCCCTTCACAAGAGCACAATTATGAATTCAAACAACTTCTTATCCACACTCACTCATCCAGGGACAGAAGCCCTCCTCTTCAACCACCCCACTCCTCCCTTGCCACCCACCTCCCAGGCCTTCTCGCAGGAAGTAATGAGAGAACTGAAGAGAGGAGACCACACAACAAGATGGCCATGAAGGGAAGAGGGATATCGAGGTGGGGAGGAGGGAACCCCTATTGGGTAAATCAGAGAGGTCACTATAGGTGTTTCATTGGGTGAGGCTACAGAAGCCCAGTGATAACCCTCCATCTTAACATTCCTATTCAGAGCAGAAAGGAAACTTAATTACTGTGGGCGGATAGAGCGAGAGGGGGGAATACCACAACCAAACGGAGGTTTATGCCTTAAGTGGTCAAAGAGAGGGAATTAGACGCTAGAATGAATGACTTAAGCCAGTACAAGCTGTTTTCTACACATTGACAAAATGGCCTGGGAACTCAAAAGCTTAATGAAGACTTAAGAAATATGTTTTTTTTTTTATAAAGCTGCAGATTGGGATGCATCAGGTTGCTCGATCAGTGAGACCAATCAATCGGCCAAGACCCATGATGTCTAAAAAATACGCTTCTGTCGGTGAGATGGGAGACTATTACACAGTTTTCAGCACCCCACTTTAAGAATGTAAGAAGATACTGTGGTTGGTTAGTCATCTTTAATGCAATGGAGCTGAGCTGTATAACAGCCGCCATTAAACTGCGGGAGTCCAACCACACTGGGAGAGTGTTCAAACCAATGGAGTACCTACAAGGAGAGGAAAGAACGCTGAATCGAGGAGAAAAATACATTTTTTGAATTGGAAGGTTTTTTTTCTCTCTTACAGCACTTACACCACTTAGTGGTGTTTTATGAATGATAATGAGATGAGATATAGTTGTGGTATAAAAAGGAAATAAAATATGGAAGAAATGGATGTAATCTGCTCCGTCTAAATGTAAATTGGTACATTTGTAGTGAAAGGACATTCTCGTGTTTCTTTGTCCGGACAAGTAATTTTCCCTACGTCCCTCTTCTGTAAGGCTTGCCATAGCAGCATTTTCTGCAGCACAGAGCACTCTCCTTTCTATTTCAATAGGACAGCTCATTTGCTAGACTCCTAGCCCAAACTGCTGACTGGGTTTTTCAAGGCTGTGTACTTTGTGTGCATGTGGACGAGTGTGCGTGTGCACAAGCTTGTGCTAAAAGAGAGAGAAAGGCATGAAAGAAGGATAGGCAAAATGGAGGGAAAGAGTGGGAGAGAGAACACATTGTATCATTAAGGTACTCAGAGATCATTAGATATATAAGGGCTCTGCTATGCAAGGTCAGGGCTGCTGTGTTTTTCTAGGTCAGCAGAGGAGCAGTAAAACCAGTCTAATCAGCCGCTTCTCTCTCCTCTCTCTCTACCCCGTATCGCTCTTTTCTTCTTCCATCTAGAGGTAGTGTGGATTACAGCCCAGTTTATCCATGCCTCTGTATGTATTTACTAACATTATCAAGGCTTATGAGCCAAGGACACGGTAAACTACACAAAAGGCACAGAAAGGCTTTGAGCTAGATATTGGCCTCATTACGGGGTAAAGTTGTTGGCTCCCTGTCTCGCTCCCAGGATGTACAAGGCTGCTTTAACAGGTGCAGCACGCTGCCTGACTATCCAGTATTTTTCATTAAGGCTATCCTTTAAAGTGGAGTTTAGCAACTGGCAGTCTGCCCCAATAAAGTGTGTGTATGTGCCCGTGTGTGTCCTGAACACAAACACATGTAAGTGAACATATTTTTTTTTTCAGCTATGAGGGAAGGACATGGATTTTAGTGAGAGGGAAATCCACATCATATAAAAAGTAACTGACCAACTCTCTTTTCAGACACTCAGAGCAGTGCTGGATTTTCTGATCCTAACCAAAATATGCCTCTAGCACCAAGTATTGAAATCTGTCAAGCTGACTCTGAATGTCCGGTCAGATTTGTGATCTTGTTTACTTATCTTACTTATCCTCAATCAGTTCCTAATTTTAATCAAAATGTTTGCTAATCTTAAGAGTACTCCTTTAGGCATTTCTTGTATAACTACTTATTTTAAATGACAATATGGTCAATAGAAAAACACATTTCTATTTCTACAGTAAGATACTGCAAAAAGAATTGTCTTGGTGTAGAAATAAAACTCCAATAATGTATTAGTATCAGAAAAATTTCAAATAATACCTAGCCCTTGGTGTAAACACTCACGCTCCACTCCTTCACTCCTCATGTGACTGAGGTCCTCACGAGTCCACGGG